TCTTGGTCCCTCCATTTTTCTGGAAGTCCCGATCTGTTTTCTTGGGGTCCTCACACTATTTTGCATCAAGAATCTCTCAAAAAGAAGAATTCAAATGACCAAAAACACATGAAAAATGCTCACCATCTCTGCTATAAAGGCAATTAAAATTTAAAACCACCTAAGATTCCACCTTCACCTGTTAGATAGCCATCATCAGCAACACCACCAACAACAGGTGTTGGCGAGGATGCGGGGAAAAAGAAACCCTCTCACACTGTGGTGGGAATGTAAACTAGTACAACCACTCTGGCAAAAAAATTTGGAGGCTACTTAAAAAGCGGACATCGATCTACCATTGAATCCAGCAATCCACTCTGGGAGTACCCAAAGGACTGTGACCAGGATTACTCCAGAGGCACCTTGCACATCCATGTTTATTGCAGCACTATTCACAATAGCCAAGTTATGGAAACAGCCAAGATGCCCCACCACTGACGAATGGATTAAGAAAATGTGGATTTATACACAATGGAATTTTATGCAGCCATGAAGAAAATGAAATTTATCATTCGCTGGTAAATGGATGGAATGGGAACATCATTCTGAAGTGAGGTTAGCCTGGCCCAAAAGACCAAAAATCGTATGTTCTCCTCATATGGGACATTAGATCAAGGGCAAACACAACAAGGGGATTGGACTTGAGCACATGAAAAGCGAGAGCACACAGGAGGGGTGAGGATAGGTAAGAACCCAAAAAACTAGCTAGCATTTGTTGGCCAACACGAGAAACTAAAGCAGATACTTAAAAGCAACTGAGGCAATAGGAGAAGGGGACCAGGAACTAGAGAAAGGTTAGATCAAAGAAGAATTAACCTAGAAGGTAACACACATGCACAGGAAATCAATGTGAGTCAACTCCCTGTATAGCTATCCTTATCTCAACTAGCAAAAAACTCTTGTTCCTTCCTATTATGGCTTATACTCTCTCTTGAACGAAATTAGAGATAAGGGTAAAATAGTTTCTGCTGGGTATCAAGGGGTTGGGGGGGAGAGGGAGGGGGCGGAGTGTCTGGTAAGGGAGGGGTGGGGGCAGGGGGGAGAAATGACCCAAGCATTGTATGCACATATGAATAATAATAATAAAAAGAATCTATCTAAAACGATAGGGGCTTCCTTCACTACACAGGTAGGGTGGGCTTGGTTCTGGACAGAGTTGAGAAATGAGTTAAATTTGGAAGACAATGTTGTCTGATACAGACTCCCCACCTTCTCCGATGTCAACCTAAAATATAAGCTCAGAAAATGGTGGCAGATGATATTCTCAAATTAAGATGTCAGATGGCAAAATGACATGCTAACAATGAACTTTTTGGCTACAAAAGACCAAACCTTAAGTGAGGATGCGTACAAAGAATTAAGACAAAGACCTGTAGCGGGGTGCTGGTGGCTCACACCTGTAATCTTAGCTACTCAGGAGGCAGAAATCAGGAGGTTTGAAGCCAGCCTGGGGAAATGGTGTGCAAGACCCTATCTTGAAAAAAATCCATCACAAAAATAGGTCTGGTGGGGTGGCTCAAGGTGTAGGCCCTGATTTCAAACCCCAGTACTGCAAAAAAAAAAAAAAAAGACAAAGACTTGTAAACACTGGTCAGTTTATTTTGAGTTAATTCTCTGAGGAGTCTGCAGAGGCCAGAGCCTGCCTTTGATGTGGAGTAGAGAAGTGTATACCAACTGTGGCAAGCTATGTATCAGCTCTTGCTCCTGGGTAGCACAGGGATCGTGTCTGGCCTCAGTGTTCTCACTTTAGAGTCAGATCATTGGGTAAAGGAAACTCACACATATGGCTCTCTCCCGTAAAGCATGAGCCCCAGGTCTGGTGTTTCTTACCAGTTCCATTCCACACATGGGCAGCATGGAGGATTCTGGTGTTTCAGTGAAGACAAAATCCTTGGAGATTCAGAGCCCTAGTCCTTCCTCCCTCAGTGAACCTTAACCCTTCTGAGGCTGTAGGGCTGCTGTGTTCTATGGGAGGTTTGTTTAGTGATGCTAATGGGGAAAGACCCGATTTCTTCTGTGGGACTTCAGGTTTGTCACTTTGTTTTCTAGATAACTTGCCAAAATGGCACAACATGGTCAAATTCTAACATCTGGAAGGGTGGGGCACTGAGGCCAAGGGACAGGGTAGGCTAACCTGTGGGGGTCAGTGCGGCATCTGAGTAACCACAGGCTGTGATGCTGGGTTTTTGGAGAAGAACAGAAAGGGGGCTTCTTCAAAAAGTCAGGCACAGGCTCAGCCTATGGAATCCACTCCTCCACAGCAGATGTGCCACTGCCGGGAGTGAGGGGGCTGGAAAATACGTTTGTGAATGAATGAAGGACCAAGTGAGAACAAGGCCACCACACCAGCCTCAAAAAGCAAGAGCCAAGCCCCTTCACCCTGCTTTGCTTCTCACTCCCACCACCCCCGGTAAGAGGCCAGCTATTAAAACCAAATTCCTAGTCAGCAAGTAAGCTCACACAAAGAATAGACAGGCTTCTTGTGATTTATTTGAGTTATTTCCAAGCGACAGTTACAAAAGTTTTTAATTTTTATAATACTCTTGATAAGAAAATAAAATTTAAATAAAAATACATTCTCAACAATACAACATGGTTACACAAATTCACTAGATTACACTTTGATAACTTACATTTTCAAACTGGACATTGTAAAAGCCAGTATTTGCTATCAACGTAGTAATTTGCAAGCTAGAATGGAAGCAGAACGCATCAGCCAAGGTTGGCAAGCTCACTTTAGGTGAGTCTTGTGCTTTCACACGCTGTAAGGGCACCTGCCTGCAAAGCTCTGCAGAGCTCTGTCTTTACAGGATGCGCCGTCAGAGCAAGTTAAAGGTGCTTCTCTCAAAAAAACAAAACAAAACAAAACTGCTTTCAAACCTGGCATAAACTAGCTTTTCTACTAAAAGAATTAAACCAGGCTTAGAAACAGAAACAAAAGCTGTATTATTTGTCACCTTTTTTTTTTTTTTTGTAAAATAAAAAAAGCCTTGCTTTGACAATCATTACCCGTGATATTAAAAAACATATTTCTTTGGCAAATAAGACAGTTCAATTTGATAAATTATATTCCTGGGAGTAAAAATCTTTGCTATTGTCCATTATGTTTTTCAAGGAGTACTAAAAAACAAAGCTAAACAAAACAAAACAAGCAACAGATCGCCTTAATTTCAACTAATGAAAATGGCTAAACCAGACTCAGCTGGCGGGCATGGCAAATTTCCCTGTATTGTCCTTTTCTGTCTTTCCTGGGGTTTTACAGGCTCTTAAGGAGGAGCGAGCTGCCATGTATTTTTAGATACTTTGGAAAAGGCAGAGAAAGCAGACCAGGGAGTGAAACGCAAAGTACTCACAAGTGACAGCAGAGGAATGAAGCCCTGCAAAGGGCCTTGGTCACTTTGGGTCCTGAGGACATGGTCTCTTATTACAAAAGACGTTCAAGGAAAATCAATTTAATTTAATATTTTTCCTTAGACTGTGCCCAGCTTTGATCTTTAAAAATAATTATAATTGAGGATTTGATATTAGAAATGTTGGAAGAATATTTTGTCTTAAAAAAAACAAAAAACAGAGCACAACAACAAAGGAAAAAAACAGAGAACACCAGCCAGGCTAGTAGGACACTCCTGTAATGCCAGCACCTGGGAGGTAGAGGCAGGAGGACGGCAAGTCTAAGGACAGCCTGGGCTACATGGAGATACCACGTCTCAGAAAAGAAGAAATAAAGAACACCCCTACCCCCCAAACCAGAAACTCAACATCAGACTAAAAGGCTTCTGAACAGAAACGAGTGGTACCTGGCAATGCTCACATGCCTTTTGCAGGTCAGCATTTTAGATAATCTTCATAGGGATTTTCTTCGGAATGAGAAATGCATTGAATGGCTAAGTCCTTTCACATTTATAAATCAGTGTAGTTTAGAGGATCTATTAACTCAGAAAACTTCCAAACTTCCAAACTTCAGTGTGGGCCAGGAGTAACAACCTGCCAGACTAGCACTGATTCATAAGTATAACCAATTGACTTTCCCCGGGCATTTAGAGGTACATCGTTTGGTCATAATCACTTATGGAACAAGTCTGAGTGCCAATGGTCCCTAAAAATAATTACCTGATAACAACACAACTTAAAAACCATTACCCACCAATATCATAATTGGCAACATATCTTGCAATACAGCTTATGCTCAGGGAAACAAACAAAAAAAAAGCACTCCTAGCTAGACTTACATTATTAAGTCACAGTTTTAACTGGAACGTGGAAATACTTCAAGGTTCAAAGTACCACATTTAGAAAATGTTTTGAATTAAAAAAGACAAAGAGTACCATGGTTTTTAATACTGATGAAGCAAAGTGTATCTGCCTCTCAAGGTGGCAACTTGCTTCGAATGCTTATCTACAGTTATGTTTGAGGACAAAAGTAAAATTAGTAAGGAAAAGTGGGATTCAACAGTTGCTGAGCCAAGTTCCGTTTGGCTAGCAGGCAATAAAGAAACAGCAATGGAGTACAAACCTTTCCAGGAAAGCGCTGTTCCTAGACTTACACACTGATCATTCAACTGATCGTGAAGACAGATACCACGGAGTACCTGCAGCATAACCTGGGCAGGCCAGATTACTAAAGTGCGCAGTGACTGTTCCAGTTAGACCTCGACCCAACACCAGAGGAGGATGTGGTGCCCTGCGTGCGCTGCTCACAACAGGAAACAGGTGAGGATGGGCGGCTTTCCCGCCGCCTGCCTTCACTGTTTTCTTTCTCTTCTTGTTCGGAAGAGATGTCCTTAGGAATCACGTTAATCAGAACTCTCAAATCAAGAAAATGAGTACCTGGTATTTAAAGCAATGAAAAGTATCTTAGTGGTCTCATTATTCATCTGCCATCACCCATCCAAATGTAAACATGAAGCAAACAATGCTCATCTTCCCGATTCCTCCTAGGTGAGTCTGGTCACACCTTCCTCCTAGGTGAGTCTGGTCACACCTACGAATAGGCAAGAGGACCTGCATTCTCCAGGATGCTCTGGCAGTGGCCAAGGTTTCTGTCACTGTCTCCAACATAACCTGGAGTGACAATGGAGCAAAGGGAGAGGGCGGGTCGGGATGACTACACGGAAAGCTCTAAGTTGACATGACTGAGGTTTTCTAGCAGAACACGATGGCAGCGTAGAGCAGGCACTGATGGTGGTGAGGGCGCGTCCACAGGACAGGGTACAAGAGGAGAGGGTTCCTTGCTGTGGAGGAGTGCACCCTTTGTTATGGAGCTCCTTAGAACCTTCTTCAGGAAGATGGTTTCATTAAAAAGAAGCTGCAGGAACACAGATTTGAACATGGATATGAGAGAAACCTTGGGCTTCAAATTCCCTAGTGATACATCAAAGCCGGGAGTCCCCAACAGTTCATTTCAATCATTAAATATTAAATACAGCGTGAATGCAAGTGACATTGAAGCCAATGTTCATTCTTAAATAGTATAAACAAGACATACGATGGATTGAAAAACTCCAAGAAAAAGAGTAATTTCCAGTTCTTCTGAATCAATTGGTCAAACTCTAAGATGTTTTTCCAACAATTGGATTTTCCCTGGAAAACAGCAAAAGAAAACCATTTTTCAAAAGTTAAGAAATACAAAAACTTAAAATGTGACAAACACAGACTCCATCAAGCATTTATGATTTTCCTTGGACAACCTCTCAGGCCAAGTCTTGTTTCATTAAGTGAACAAGTATGTGCCGACCACTCAGGCACTATTCTAGAAGTAAGAATAGAGTACTAAACAAAACAGCTGAAATCCTTGCTGTCCTGGAGCTCACATACTGTATAAGGAGATAAACCAACCCATACATTTAGTGCAGGAGAGGTTGCTATTCCCTCCCTTCCCCAAATGCTGAACTGAGGGCCCTCATACTCTATAAATGCACTGTATCACTGAGTTGCTGAGTTGCATCCCCAGCCTGGGACTTTTTTTTTTTTGACATGGTCTGACTATGTAGCCTACACTGGCCTTGAATTCTTGATCCTCCTGCATCCACCTCCTGAGTGCTGGGATTACAGGCATGTACCACTAAACTTGGCTGTTTTGAAGTTGGTATTTTTTTAACAGAAAATATTAAAGCTGAGCTTTAATTTTAATTTAAGCTGATGGGGGTCCTACTTAGTAAGAAAACTGGATTAGTACTATTAGAAGAGAATTAATTATACTAAGGAGGAAAGACAGAAGTAGGATGGAAGAATATTTGCATCCATCAGATGAATTTCTGTTGTTCATAAATAGAAACATATTTTGCCAAGAATATTTACAACAGTGCTCCCACTAATCAGCTATGAAACCTTGAGTGAGGCATTTCTTTTTACCAAGCCTCAGTTTCTCTAGCCGTAAGATGGGGCTGATGTGAGGACCAATGAGACAGTAAGCACAGTTATCTGCTGGCCCAAGAACCATGCTTTCCCTGTCCACTTCACTCAAACAACCCTGATTCCACTTTAGTACTGGGCAGCCCTGTGTTTCAGAGGAGGCTGGGTCATGCTAGACAAGATTCCTCTCTTTATAAGGAAGAAACAGCCTTTTCTGCCTGTGGACACTAGCTTACAAAAATGTGTGGCTCTCAAGTACTGTGCTCCTCTGTGACCAACAGGGAACAAGCTTGAAGACAAATTATCTTGTTGAGGACAGCTTAGTGGCAGATAACTCTTGAGGCCAGTGTTAAGCTGCTGAATGAAGCAACTGTATAAGTTAAGTCTTAATTAGTGAGACTAAAAATTTCTTATTGTTTAAGTATTCAAGCAGGATTTCCTTTCACGTGGCTAAAGGCAATATAAATGATGTGTGGTAAAGTAGGAGGCACAGTGCCCTGGAAGGAGTGAGCTCCAGTAAGCGCAAGCTGTTGCTCTTGTTACCATTGCAGCAGCTCTGTATGTGAGGCAAACCCACAAGATCAGCTATAAAATACTTCCAGCACGCCCACAAGTTTTTTTTTTTTTTTTTTAAGCACTTATAAGATGCTGTGGGACATGCAAAGAACATCTCAGTAAAAACAGAAACAAAAGGCTACTAAGAATTGGGGAATGAGTTACAACTGAACATGACATTGTAAGTGGGGTAGCACCAACACGATGAAATGTAGCACTTGGGTATGAGTGGCAGGGTAGTGGGCACAAGGGAGAGGCTCTGGCTGGGTCTTTGCACCTTCAGTGGTGAGGATGGCTGGGGCACGTCTCTAGCAGCCTGCGGAGTACTTACTTGCTCCCGTATTTTGCACTACTTGATCTTTTCTTCCTATACTTTTCATGAGGTTCATCCAGCTTCTCTGTGATGCTTTTTATTTGTTGAATTGTCTTAAAGGTCGTTACAGAATCCTCAATTACAAAGCTAGAATAGTCATCGGGCTCTTTCTGTGGTCCTTGATAGACTGCTATAGTTCCACAAGCCTCTACAAGGAGCAGTGAGATCCCACATCAGAAAGCTAAATTCACGCATGCAAACTGTAGCACAAAACCAGTCAAGTGTCTCAAGCTGGGAAGAGTTCCTTTGGAAGTGCACAGATGATATATATACACATATATACATATATGTATATATATCTCAACTTTATTAATTAGAATCATTACATTTATGCAAAAACAGTAATTTTACTTTATGAATATCCATGACAAATGTCCCCTTTGGGGGTTTGTGGACTTCATACTAGTAACATTTTGGTGAATTTATGAATACTTTCAACTTTTCTTTTTTGGTAGTATTTGGGGTTTGAACTCAGGGCCTTCCTCTTGCTAGGCAGGTGCTCTACTACTTGAAGCATACCCCTAGTTCTTTTTTGCTTTTGTTAGTTTTCAGACAGGGTCTCGCCTTTTGCCCAGGACTAGCTTCAGACTATGATCCTCCCACTATGCCTCCTGAGGGTTGGATGACAGGTGCATATCACAGTGCCCAATTTATTTGTTGAGATGGAGTCTTCATAGCTTTTTGCCTAGGCTGGCCTTGAACTGCAATCCTCCCAATCTCTGCCTCTCAAGGAACTGGGATTACATGAGTGGGATTACCACATTTGGCCCCTATTTTCAACTTTTTTTTATAATGCCAAAGAAATTCTTGAGGAAATGGTAATGAAAGATTATGGTTTGATAAAAGTAGATTAATTGTGTATTTACCTTCCATCTTCTGCAGCTTAAATAAACTGAGGGTAAAAAGGGAATAAATTCTTTCTGTTTCTCTGTCTTCATCAATATCTATTTGGATGTCTGCAGGAACACCTCTATGGTAAAATAAAATTAAAGACTTTGGAAAATTTTTACTTTGTTGACATGACAAAGACTTTTAATGGTATGAGACTAAAACTTAAGAGTTTTGCAAAAGGAACTGTGGAAATTTAGTTTAACTGATAGTCAAATAAAACATTCCCATGGCCTATGCATCACAACAGTGATATCTTTAAATCAAGTCTCCTGAGCTCTGACACTAGCCCACACAATGAGGAAGAGTGCAAGCGCCCTTCTCCTTCACAGCTTGATCATGGTGGTGCTGGAGATGATGTGCAGTGCCCTGCACACGGGCCAACTGTTCTGCCACCAAACAACACCCCCAGCTGAACACCGTCATTATTTTTTTTTTAAACTTGTTTAACTATTATTAATTTCAGAACATTTTCATCACCCCAAAAAGAAATTCTGTATCCATTAGTACTCCTCATTCCTCCACCTATCCAGATCCCGCCCACCACTAATCTACTTTCTGTGCTTATGTATTTACCTACTCTGGATACCTTTTTCTTTTTTTTTTTTTTGTGGTGCTGGGGATGGAACTCAGGGTCTTGCACATGCTAGGCAAGCGCTCTAGCACTGAGCTACACCACCAGCTCTTCTGGATACTTTTTATATAAAGTTTTCACACCATATGCCTCTTTTGCATAGCACAATGTTTTCAAGGTTCATGTGTATTGTAGCATCTATGTGTACTTCTCTCCTTTTATGATGGAATAACATCCCATTGTATGGATATACCACATTTTGAAACATTTGATTTTTTTTTTTTTTTTAAATCAGAAACTTACGCAGTACACGGCTTACAGCCTGGAGTGTTTTCACTGGTCTCCTGACAGCAGAGCCAGATTCCGTTGAGATACGCGGAAGGGTGAAAACAGCTGAGCTTGTTTTGGTTGCACCGGCTCACCCTGCACAGTACATCTATCCATTCATTAGCTTCCACACAGTTATTTGCTTGGACATAGAGTGGTTTCTCCGTATGGATTACTTGGAACATCTTCATGGGCAATTAAGATAACAAGTTAGTGAGATAAGCCTTAAAAACCAACACACAATACACAAACAGAAAAAATTATGTAACAGCCAGGCGCTGGTGGCTCACTCTTTGTAATACTAGCTACTCAGGAGGCTGAGACTGGGAGGATCAAGGTTTCAGGTCAGTCTGGGCAAACAGTTCAAGAGACCCCATCTCCAAAAAAACCAGACCAAAATGGACTGGAGGTGTGGCTCAAGTGGTAGGGCACCTGCTTTGCAAGTGTGAAGCTCTGAGCTCAAACCCCAGTCCTGCCAAAACAAAACAAAACAAAAAACACCCCACATGTATGTAACAGAAATGTAGTTTATTTGGCTAGATAACGCTTACTAAAATATCTTACGAGCTGGGTTACTGTCAAGCAAGTAAGTTCCGAAGACAACCTGGGTCAGATGGTAATAGGCAGTACAACAGAATATAATTTCTAGAAGCCACAGAGGCTTCCAGAGGAATGAAGCATTGCAGAAAAGAGTAAAGGGAGGTGATTTCAGATGGAGGAGAAACAAAGTCTGAGGAAAGGCAAAGCAGTGGGGAAATGCTGGTGAACAATAACGTCACCTTGGTTGACTGGAGAGTGCCTTGTGGACTGAGTGGCAGTCCAGAAAGACTAGGACCACCTTACTTAGAAAATAGGGACCTCTGAGAAAAGTGTCTTTACCTCAAACTAGGCAGACTCCATGAGACATCGACAGTAATGGACAATTTTAAAACAGAGCTTAGGCTAACAATTCATAAATTATTAACAATTATAGTAAATATTAAAATAAACAACTTAAGGTTCTTAACTATGCAATACTATAGTTTAAACTTTCAATATTTATTTACATGGCTTACATTTTTCTTGTTGAAAGAGCTCTCTTCCAGTTTTTCCACAGCAAGAATGTTTTTTACTGGAATTGTGTAAATTGCATCTTTGCCTAAATAATAAAAGACAAAATTAAAATAATTTCCATCACATCACAGTTAATTCTGTAAGGTTTAAGTTGTCCCTCTTAATGGGGACAACTTATAAAGTCTATATAGCCCATAGGAGACTCCCAGGTGGACTGGGTATAAACTCTTTTGTTTAACTGAACTGATGAATTTTGATTACTTCCTCTAAAGTGACTGCCTCTTTACTTTTTTCAATATAAATTAAAACATTTTCAAGGAAAAATGTGGGAATAGAGTTGATCTCCATGTAGAAAGTCACTGTCTACAATGCTACAACCTGGTAGCATTAATTTTATGGAAATACAGACCTACTGAAATAGAGGATGAGATATGGGATTTTCTTTCATGGGAGTTATGTTTCTGTTTTTTGAACCTAATACTTCATTAAAGGACTAACTCTCAAAACTTTTTTTTTTTTTTGGTGGTCCTAGGGGTTGAACCTAGGGCCTCATGCATGCTAGGCAAGTGTTGTACCACTAAGCAGTACTTCCAGTCCTAAAAAAAAATTTTTTTTTTTTTTTTGTGGTACTGGGCTTGAACTCAAGGCCTACACCTCAAGCCACTCCACCAGCCCTTTTTTGTGATTTTATTTATTTATTTATTTTTTGAGATAGGGTCTTATGAACTATTTACCTGGGCTGGCTTTGAACTGTGATCCTGATCTCTGCCTCCTGAGTAGCTAGGATTACAGGTGTGAGCCATCAGTGCCCAGCTAAAAAATGTTTTTAAACTAAAAAATTATTTATGACTATACTTTGGCTGGTCAGGCTAACCAAAGCTACAAAATTTACTTAAGAGATAGATGTAAGGGAACAAAAGCAAAAATTCTATTTGAAGCAGTGAATCCTTAACCTAATTTAAAGGTCTGGAAATTTGAGTTTGACAATAATATGGTACAGGAATACAGCTCATTTCCATTTGTAATTTACCTGAGCATAAACAACACCTTACATAGTCACAGAAACAATGGGCAAACATTCTGACTTGTAGTCATTTTCTAACACTGCCCTTAGAATGTCAAATCTCTGCTCTGAAGGCAGTGGACCAAAGAACTGAAGGCCAAGACTTTACATTTTAGCTCACTCAGAGAACCAAGGTATAGCTTTTGTGGCAAAGAAAATGAATGGATTCATAAACATTTTTGTGTCTGAACTAAGACATTTGGAGAGATATACTGAATGCCTACTACATACCAGGCACTGTTCTAAGCACTTATGGCAGAACAGTGAATGGAAGAGATGCAGTCCCTAATGCAGTTTGTATTTAGTCTGTAAAGACTGACAGAAGACAAAATAAATATTAACTAGAGATGAATGACAGAACGGAAATAAGGTGAGGTGATCTGATAGAATGTAACTGGGAAGTCACTGAAAGTGGTTAGGGAAAACGTTCCCAAGGAAACAGCATTTGCACCCTGCAAATACAAATCATAAATACCTGGGAAAATAAGAAAAGACTACCAGCAATCTCCTGGAAGTGGACAAGATAACATTAGGGAGGTGGAGGTGGGGCAGGAAGCCACAGCCATAGGACGATGCCTGCACATGTGGGAGCAGTCAGGGAAGAGCTTCCACTCAGTCAGGGACCAGACAACTGAGTTGGAGGGATGCAGGCACAGGTAAGGAGGACTAGCAGATGAGTAGCATCTGAAACAGTGGGCCAAGCATCCACTGGTTCAAGCAGCAAGGATGTGCAGCAGGCTGCAGCACAGTGCAGTGTCATGGCCAGTTGCTGACTCTCAGATACAAGCACTAGGACTCCTGCATGTTACTCAACACTCAAGAAGGTGGGTCAAACACAAAGAAGAGCAAATTGCCAAGACAATCACCAAATAGCTGGGAAAGCTAGGACTCTGAGGACGTGCACATGCCACAAGCAAGTTAACACCTGAGGGAAGCAGCAGTGTGATAACCTGGAGAAGACAGAGGGGACCTGAGTCTTTGAGTATCAAACTACACAGGCATGGCAGAGATTCTAGCCAGAGAATTTTTAAATATTACAGTTAGAGTGCATCTTTAGATTTGCTAAATGTACAAGGCAATCCTATGTGCCCTAGGATTGCTGCATTTATTCATTTCTGGACAAATTATAGTAATAAAGATGCAAAGAAAGCGCACTACTCTCAGGACACAGGCTGTCCTGACACTCACATTAGGGTTAATTTCACAGTGAGCTGTGGTAACTGGAACAAACTGCAAGATGATTAGTAAAAGGAAAGATTTTACTGAGAAGTCTCCAAAAATATGCTAATAAAGGACAAAGAGACAGAAAGTAAAAGAAAAAGTTAAGGCCCATAGTGGATGGACTTGGAAGTTTCCAATCTGACTAACAAGAATTCAAGAAATGGAATAGAGTTGGGTGTGGTGGCTCACATCTGTAATCCTAGCTACTCAGGAGACAGATCTTGGGAGGATGAGGGCTCCAGGCCAGCATAGGCAAAAAGTTAGTGAGATCCCATCTCAACCAATAGCTGGGTGTGCCTGTCATTTCAGCTACATGGGAGGTGTAGGTAGGAGGACTGTGGTCCAGCTGGCCTGGGCATGGATACCTAAGGCAGAAAGGGCTGGGGTGTGGGTCAACTGGTAGAGTGCCTGCCTAGCAAGTGGCAAGCCCTTGGTTTATGAAATGGTACGGCATCTGCATCTAGCTTTCACAATCCCTCCACACACTTAAATCACCTCCAGATTACTCGTAATACCTACCATGTAAATGCTCTGGAAATAACTGTTACACTGTATTGTTTAGGGAATGACAACAAGGGAAAAAAGTCTGCAGACACAACCAATGGAGGCCTAGCTGCAGTTCTAACCTGTGGCTGGTTGAATCTCTGTATGTGGAACCCAGGCATTAAGAAGGCCGAGTGTATGGTAAAAAGCAGTAATTTTTATACTTTTAAAAGGGAGAATTTTATCATATGTGAATTATGCTGAGGAAAAATTAATACCACCACAACAAAACCAAGAGTGCAGTTATATACACTGGCCCCAAGGAACACAGCTAAAGTAAGATAACCACATCTCTATTTTGGTAGAAGGCTGGGTGTGAGAATGTGAATCAGCCTCACATTATTGTAACAAACACCCAAGATAATTAACTTATGTAGAGCTCAGTTTCAGAGGTTTCAGTCCATGAACAACTGGCCCATTGCTTTGGGCCCATGGTGAGGGCAGGACGTCATGTGGGAGTACATGGCACAGAAGAACTGCTCACATGACCAGGGGGGCAAGAGAAGAGCCAAGGTCCAGAGTCCTCTTCAAGGGCAGCCTCAAATGGCCCATGATCTCCGCAAGGCCCACCTCCAAAAGGCTTCACTACCTTCCAATAGTGCCACTGTGGGGACCAATTCCTTAACACATGTACTTCTGAGGGACACCTACCCAAACCATAGCAGCAAGTATAAAACCAAAGCAGTGAAAAGAACCAGTGGCAGATGGTAACCTGAGATGGGCTCACTTGTGAAAACTGACTGGAGTAAGAACTTGGGAGAGGGAGTGGGGGCTGTAGGGAGAGGTCTATGGTCTTCCTACCAGGGGTATTTCTATTTTCTCCTAAAGCTTAGGCAGTGAAAACTCCAAGCTTTACTGCCTGTAGGGATGAGACTGTGGAGCATGAGAGCTATGAAAGGCTGAGATGATGAAGTCTCAAATGCTTGGCTGATTGGTGAAGTATGCATGTATGTGGAAAACTGGGGATACTTGTCAATCTGCTGTGACTTGGAATGTATTCTTTAATTCACACATAGCCCAGGTGACAGAGGGATGGAGCCTTGTAGGTATCTGAACTCTCTGCTGAAATCATTTGTTGATCATTAAACTAATCGAGGTCAGGTGAGACCCCTAGGGAACAAACTAGCTTTAGGGGGGAAAAAAAGAATCTAAGCAGATACACCAGTAGCTACAGTGCAACCTAAGGAGGCCCTGCAGTTTCAGTTCAGGGAAGCCTTCAGAAGAAAACAGGATCCAGACACACTAGAATGTATTAGCTACAATGTCCAGATCTTACTTAAAAAACACTAGACAGAAAATGTGAACAATAACTTGGAAAAGAAAGCAGCCAACCGAAGGCGACTCTGACTGGGCCTCCATGTAGAATCCAGCAAAGACTTCAAAACAACTACTGTAAATATACTTAAATAATTCAAGGGAAAAACAATAATAATGATTGGACAATTAGGGACTTTCAACACAAAAATAGAGAATATAATAAAAATGGAAATTCTAGAGGTAAAAAGTACAGTAAGTGAAATGAAAAGTTTACATGCACTGATGAGCAGAATTGAGATGATAAAAGTCAGTGAACTTAAGCAGAAATTATATAATTTGAGGAACAAAGAGAAAAAAGAATGAAGGAAAATGAACTTAAGTCTCAGAGCTCTGTGAGACAGTATCCAGCCCCTCAGCACAAACACAACGGGACTCCTACAAGAACAGAAGAGAGAGGAAAACACTGTGTGAAGAAATGAGTATAAATGCCTCAAATTTGGTGAGAAACATGAGCTTATGGTTCTAAAACAAGCAAACACACGAGCAACACAAAGCCCTTGTTTTTTGAGTGGGAAGAGGGGGTGGGTTAGTTATTGCCCATTTTCTTTCTAAGTTTCTGTTGTAGATATACTACAGAGCCTAACTCAGCACAGTCTACTTAGGATTATTCTGATGTCCCTTCATGAAATGTAGGACCCTGGGAATAATTTGCTCTGTCTCTTTCTACTGTGCTATTGTCATACATTTGACATTTATATATCATATATGCTATAAACCATACAACTCAGCATTATACATTTTGCATTATGCATTTACTTTCCAAAGAAGTTGAGAAAGGAGAAAGACAGTGAACCTTTACCCACATAATATTCTTATTGTATTCATAGCCACTGAATCTTTCTTCTGGCATCACCAATCTGCTGTTACATGCTCCAGTGACTTTTTTTATGTCTTTTTTTTTTCCCTGCAGAGAGTCCCCATTTCTTTTACTTCTTGTGACT